GCCAGTCCCAGCGTTCTTTCGCGAGGAAGGGCTCTCGGAGTGAATAAGTCTTTACAACTCATCGAACAACAGCAAAGTTGCAATAATACATTAATTTAACCCTTGGTCTCTCGGTAGGCAGAGTCCGCACCCCCACTCCCACCCACTCCGCGGTGCAACTTTTATAGTCTTCTCAGAACTATGCAGCATTAGATAAGCCATGAGATAAGGATTCTTAAGTTAATACCTCAGAGGTGCTGTGATGGGAAGCACAGAGAGAAGGGGTTATTTTTTTTTTTTTTTTTCTTCCACCTGTATCACAGTGTGGAAATGGAAAAGGTGAGTTGAAGGTGATTTTTCCACACGCGGTGCATTGCAGCCCTCATCCCTCCTGTGCCCCAGCTCGCCTGACATAGTTGGTACTACCCTTAAGTTGATTTTGAAGCTTATTATAGGTATACTCAATATTGGGTTCTGTTAACCTGTTTATAACCTTAAGCTTTAACCATGACATGAATTTCATGTTGGAACCCACATACCAAGTGTGATATTGAATGTTAATTAGTGCATTCCAGGTCTTGATGTGGAATAGATTCTTCTGAGCTTCAGCTGAGAACTGTTGTCCTTAGGGCCTTGTTCTGTGTTTAATGACACAGTTTAATATTAGGGTTGGAGGAAGACATTTTGAATCTTGATACTTCCACAAACTTGAAAACCATTAGTAGGTCATACCCGAAACTAATAATAATACACTTTATCGCACCAAGCTTTCTTCACTCTTGTTCTGAAATCATATTGACATTTTTACCTTATAATTACAAAACAACAGGATTTTCCATTTGTGGCAGTATAATCCAACCTCACTATTTTAAGTTTTCACGAGATTTACAAGGAACTGAATGGAACTACCTGCCTTTATTAAGTATTTAACTACATGAACCCTCCTGATGTGCCAAACTTGATAATAGTTTTGGCCAAACCTCGCTCCCCTACACCCTCAGCCTGTTGAGCAAAGTAAAGTGCTCTGCTGAGCTCTGGTCCCTTCCTTCTTGATTTTTGTTAATTTAAGAATTGCCAAGGAGTCACTATACAATTTTCAAAAATCCCCTTTTTGCTCATATGAGAATGATTTATAATTTTGACACATTCGGTACAAATGATGAAAATTACTTGTAGTTAGCAAACCACAATCACATGTTATTTAAAACATTTTTCTACTTTAGAACTTTGAATTTAATATTTTTTTCAGTTTAATAATTACTCAGATTGATCTTTTTTCTTGAGACAGGGTCTTATATAGCCTAGGGTTGGGAATTTACTGTGTATCTGAGGCTGGCCTTGAACTCCTTATCCTTGCATTTCTACTTCCTACCATGCCAGGATTCTATTAGTCAAATTCTTTAAAAAGGTATTTTTTATTTTAATTTTTAAAAATTATATGTGTGCTTGTGCATGTGAGTGCAGGTGTCTGTAGAAGCCAGAGGTGTCAGATCTTCTGGAGCTGGAGTTGTGTAAATGCTGGGAACTGATCTTGGGTCCTCTTTAGAGCAATTTGTATTCTTAACCCATGTGCCAGTTCTCCTGTCTCTGTCATTCATATTCTTGAATCAAGGACTCTGTCTCCCAGAAGTTTATCAGACTTCTAGAGTTATGGTATGTATGACTTTGATACTCAGTAGGAAGAGAGATCCAGTAAGTAAATAGTAATCTACATCATTATCACCTTAAATTACATTAAAAAAAAGTGAGCCTAGAATTCAGGAACCTTGTTGGGGGTGAGGTGGGATTTTTTGCATCTCTCACAGCACAGTATTTGATGTAGACTTAGTAAATATCTGTTGGTTATGTGTCTTGTCTTGGTAGGTGCTTTTTGAAAGATAGCCACGTGTTATTAATCTGTATGGCTAGTGTCAAGTACAGGGGATACTCTGTAAATGCCTATTTCCTTCCTTCTCTATGACCTCCTCAACCTAGGAAAAATTGAGGCCTGTTTCCTTCCTTCTCATAGGCAACTGAGGCCTTTTTTCACCCATAGATAGTAAAGGTCTTGCCAGAACCAGGATACTGTGTATGATATCATCTTCTAGATTCATATTCACTGTACTGCCCTTTAGATACTGAAATGTAGATTCTTTCACTGTTACCATTTGAAACATTTCTGAAGTTCAGCTTTTCATATGCATCAGAAACTCTAGGACATCCAGGATTTATCCAGTCATGACTCAGAACCCATTCCTGGCTAGCCTTTAGTTAGGTTCTCTACCACTGTGTTAGTGGAGTAATGAATTGTTTTTGTCCATTTTGAATGGTGGCTAACTATTTTCAAGTGTTTGACATTCTGCCCTTTTGATCTCTCCATTTTGAGCTTTCTTTTGATAAGGTGTTCAGTATACGTTTCAGTAGTATGGTTATTTCCTGTTTTTTATACTGTGTATACCCAAGAGTGAGACTGGATCTCTCATAACAAGTTATTAATATTGGTTGAATACACATCCATTCTAATAGTAAGTTCTGTATTAGTGTTGGGGGAGGGATAGTGTCCATAGAAAATTCAGAATTCATTTAAGTATTTTAGACATTTTATTGCCAACATTAGTACTTGGGAACTTTCATATTTTAAATTATAAACATCCATATGAAAAATGACTTCAGTCATCTTATAGACATTTACTTAAGGCATGAAAATTTCACTATGTTGAATTGTAAGGCACTATACATTTCAATGTGTTTTGAGTTTGATGAATATTGTATATTATTTTATATTTCTTACACATAGGAATTTTATGGCACTATAAATAAGGGAGTTTAATGACCCCATTTTTGTTCATTAGTAATTATATACTAAAGAGTAAATTCTCATTACAAGGCCCGTAAATTACTGCCTATAAAAGGAGAGACCTCTTTGATTTTGTTCTCCATACAATTGTAGTTATTGTATTGAGGGAAGTCATCAAACTCTTTAGTAGTCTAAACCTTTAATTTGGTTTTAGAACAGCAGTCATATATTGAACTCCCAAATTGCCATGTATATAACAAGCAGTGCAAACACTCTGTATTAAAAAGGTAATGACCATAACTTTTCTTGGAGGGTTTCTTGTACTAATTTTTTAAGAGGACATTTGAACTAAATTTCCCACAAAAGCCCCAATCTCATACATTTAATGATAGTGGAGTACATGTGTATGTGTAGAAGGGAAAGATGGTAATTTTTGTAGTGGTATCTTTATGTGGACAATTTACTGATTATGTTGAGGTAAACATTTTACAACTCTAAAGGAAAACTTCAATTATCTGAAAGAAATGAAGTATATAAAATTAATTCAAATAAATGAGGAAATTCTTACTGTAAATAATGCATGTTAAAAGATATGACAACTCAGTCTTCATCCCCCCCCCCCAACCCCATGTTTGTCATTTGCTTTTACATTACAGAATTGTGTTTTTTCTTGGTTACACTAAGAGTCATGGATGGGAGGAAGTAATGTTGATCTGTAGTTTTTTTTAGTCTCTCCCAAGATCTGGAATGGTGTTCTGTGACATGAGTAATTGTTCATTTCTGTTCTGTACTGCCTCCTGTTTTAGTGATATTCCAGAGCCTTTCATTTTGTCAGCTTCCTCACCAACGTGTGTGGACTCTTGAGAATGTGATTTGATTGAAATTAAACCACATTCCTCTCCCATCCACAGATGCTTATGCTACTTAAAAGCTTGGTTTGGGCAAGTATATTGAACTGGATAACTCTATTTCTTCCCCTCTCTTTAACAACTGCTTTATAGTGTAAACTCTTAGAGTAGAAACAAACCTCAGGGTATGACTCCTGACCTTTGTAGATTCTAACTTAAAATGGAAATTTTACTGATTGATTGGGGTGTTGGAAAATGATTTCTGTTGCAGTTGACTGAGGTTTGCAGTACTCTTGATTTTGAAAGCTATTGTGTAATTTCTAGATGGTCCCTGTCTGTAGCTGTGACTTTTCATTCCTTCCAAGCTTTTTTTTTTTTTTTTTTTTTTTTGAGTAAACAACTCAAATAAATGTGAGCTGATTTTGTATAAGCCAATTTACTTCAGTCTTTAATATTACCTATAAATCTTTTATTTGAAGCACCTGAGAACATGCTTATTTTCAACATGTACTTTTTTTATTTGTTGGTTTTTAAGATGCAAGATGAGTCATATCTTCATTGATTTGGGTAGAGTGTGGTATCAGCAAGAGCTATATCAACTTTGTGAGCAATTGGTGAGTCATTGAGACTTTCATTTATTTGTTTTTTCATTCTTTTGGTTTTTTGAGACAGGGTTTCTCTGTGTGGCCTTGACTGTCTTGGAACTCACTCCTAGACCAAGCTGCCTCTGCTTTTTGAGTACTGGGATTAAAGGTGTAGGCCGCCACCACTGGTTTAGAGTTCCTTTAATAGATCTGGATGTATGACTAAAGATTTTGGGCTCAAGAGTCAATCGAAACTGAATTTGATCTTTTTGTACAGTATAAGCAGTAGGCCTTGGGAGGAAGGTAGGTATTTATCATGTTTAAATTTCGGTTTCCTCATGTTTAAAATGGGCATAATATCATGTGGAAGTTAAAAAATTAATAATAATATTTGGTGAATTAATTCATGATCATGTTTTAACAGTATGAATTAATACACTATCTAGTTTAAACACTACTTTAAATGGAAATTGTCTCCCATAGAGGTAGAGGTAATTGGGTAACTCAAAACCTTTCTAAATAGAAATCTTGTTCAGATGACTTTAAAATTACAAAAAGCTTGCTTGTTTAAAGCCAGGGGTGATATAGGTAAGCCATTAAAGGCTAGGCTTATAACTCAAAATATTAAATTATAAAAGGGGTAAATTACCAGTCTATTTATATATACATAATGTAGTAATATGTGATGTAAGGTGGCACAATATGCTGTTTTTACAGTTTAGATGTCCCCCAAAGACCTTGGTTTCTAAAGTGGTGCTATTAGCAGGGATTGTGGACCTTTAAGAGGTAGGGTCTAATGTTACAAGGTATTAAAGGTTACAGGAATCCTGAGACCCTGGTCTCATAATCTCCGTTTCCTGGCTTGAGATATATTACCTCAAATTTGCTCTTTCACTATGATATGCTTCCCTAGCCAGAAATTTTTATCTGTAGTGAAGATAAGTTATCAAGATTTAATGTTAGATATGCATAGTACTTGTTTATGTCCGAATCAAAGGTATACCAGTAGCTGTTATTGTGAATTTGAACAAAAGACTTTCTCTGCCTCTAATCTAGATTTCTTCATCTATAGTATAACAGCTAATGAGTAGAGAGATGGGGAGTAAGTAGATAATGTTTGTAAATGTAGACTCAATGCTGCTTGCTGTCACTTCTATTACTATTAAGTTTCAGAACAAATGAGAGCATTTTGAGTTGAAATCAAAACGTCAGTGCAGACACTTGGTACACTAATTATATGGGAATATTTATTATGGATTTGAGGAGGTTACCTTATCATTTATTGCTTAGAAAGCAACAAGCTTAAGATAGTAGTTCTCATGCTGCTTTTCAATATTTAAGAAATTCTTCTGATGCACAGTGATACTAGTGAATGTTTACAGCTGTATAATGGATTATGATACAATTTGTGTCTAGTAAACCAGTGTTTTTAAAATCAGAAGTGTTACACATGAAGGTTAAAGATCCTTTTAAAAAGCAAGCACCATAATAAAAAAGTGTCTCTGTGTTAGGTTCTACTTTATAACTAACCCTTAAGAAATTCCTGTTTGCCAAGTTTTGGTATAGTATCATCAAAGTTATCCATTATTATATGAACAGAATATTAGTATGAACACATTTTCCTTACTATGTGTTTTGTGAGGCCATTTTTTTCACATAGCTCAGTCAAAACTGTGTATGATAGCAGATTGAATGTAGCAATAGATTTGAGTATCCACTTATCTTTTCATAAGCTAAGCACAATAATATTTGAAAAACTGTTATAGCAGTATTTTTTTCTTATTGAGCTTTTATACTTTGAAAGTGTATTCACAAAATGTGATATCTATTTTAGATATTACATATCTTATAAGTTTATGATGATTTAATAAATGCTTAGTATCTTATTTTCCAATATAATTAATATTGGTCATTTTAATATACAAGGTCTTTGGGAATGATCCAGTTTATAAGAATAGAAAAGGACTTACATACTAAGAGATTTTACAACTTTCTTTTTTTTAAATTAAGCTCATTTAGTGGAGCCTTAAAGATTTAGTCTGTTTAGCGTTTCTTTGAATATGGACTTCATGACTCTAATTTATTTCCCTAATTGTAAGGCTCTATGGTTATTGGATTTTTGTGTCATTTTTGAAATAGACAAGGTTCTTGCATGTTTATAAAGATTTATATTTTTAAGATTGATAACACCCATTACTACTGAGTTGAGATAATAATCTTCTTTCCTGGTACCATATTTGTGTTTGTAAGCTTTGACATGAGTTTATGCTCAGAGAGATGCAGATAAGCTGGGCCCCCTCAGTGGGTAGAGATAGCATTTGGAGGAAGCAGACAACTAGCAATAGTGGAGAGATAAAAGGAAATGTAATATGTACCCTTTTGAGACAGATACTAAAACAGCTTAGAGATGTTTCAAGGTGAGTATTTTTACGTGGGAAATACATCTATATGTATAGATTTTGATTTTGTTATATTCTTATATTTGGAGTTTGTATGAACTGAGCTGAAGTAACAGAAGAGCAGGCCATTTTTGAAGGTTGAACTCATACGTCAAAAGTTTGAAGGTTCAAATAAAAATTATTAAGAGGTGCTGGTGAGGTCAGGAGAAGTTAAAATATTCAGGTTGCAAAGTGCCCAAAGAAATCCACATGTCAGAGTGGGTGTTAGAGCATGGCTAAGAAGTGATGGTCAACATGCACACTAATGTCAGAAAAATGTTGTTTGGCTATGGAAAATGTAGAGATCTTCATTATAGGTCATACAGACTGGAAACCCAGAACAGAACTTGGGACATAGAAGAGGCCAGTATTGGAGACTTGAAGTTGAGCTCTTCATTACTGCCCAAGGTCATTGTTAAATCCTTTGATTGATGCAAAGCTGAGCCAAGGAGAAGAACAAAGGGAGTATAGCTGTCTCCATTGGAGTGGAATACTTGCTAATTAAGTGGCTTTGAATTAAGACAGTTGATTTGTTCTTGTCCTTCACCTGAGGTTCTTAACACATCGGTGGTGTATAATGCCTAAACCAAAAACTTCTCTAGGTTAAGAGTTGGTAGACTTTTCTCTGTAAAGGACCCAGATAGTAAATATTTTGGCCTCCTGTAGAAATCATGTTGTTCATATTCCAGTGCACTGTTGCAGTAAGAAAGCAGCTGTACAGAAGTAGTGAAGGAATATGACTCTTTTAGTAAGCATTGATTGTTGAAACTGAAGTTTGATTCCATATTGTTTTCACATGTCACAGAATATAAATTAACCTTTCCCCAACTATTTAAAAATATAAAACCCACTTTTAAATTATACCTATATAAGAACAGGCAGCAAGCAGTGTTGGGTTTACTTACATATTCTAGTTTGCTGACCAGTTTTTAGGAAAGAAATGTCTTATCAGTTATGATGAAGAGAGCTTGGCAGTATTAAAATAGATGTTCTGTAGGACAATGCTGTTAGTGATAGTGTTTTCTAGGTGACACTGATGATAAAAATCCATTTAAGTATTTAGATGTGACATCTGCAGCAGGTTCTAATCATTCAGTTATGAGACAGACTGGAAACTTGACAAGGATTGTCACCTACTGTGCAGAGAGAGCCAGAATCCATTACAGAAATTGTCTGGGTGAGCTGGACAATTGCTGGGGCCAGTGATACACCGTTAGACAAAGATGGTGAAAGAGACAAGTTTGCCATATCCTTGGGATGACTGAGTGTGGCACAAGTATGGCATTGAGCCATATGATTCAGAAAACTTTATGACTACATGAAAATGAAAAAAAGGCTAGTGGTGACTAGTGTAGTTGAAGTAAATTTGATCTTTATTTGCAGAATGTATACTGCATTACCATTCTATAATGATATGTAGTAATTGCCTTGGTAATCTAACTTTAAAGATCCTGTTTTTATTCATGAAACTTACATAGTTATTACCTTTTATGGATGAATTATAAAGGGAAATATAACAAAGAATGACAGCTGTTTACTAGACTAGGTTAGTTTAAGCATTCTAATGTTTTTCTTTATTTTTATACATTTTAAATCAAAATATAATTATATCATTTCTGCCTTCCCTATTCTCCTTCCAGACCCTCCTAGGTCTCTTTCCTCTAACTTCTATGCTTTCTGCACTCTCAAATTGATAGCCCATTATTATGTTACATATGTGTGTTTGCATACACATGCATGCATGCCCAAATATATAAATACAACCTGCTGAGTTTGTTTTGTTGTGTATATGGTTTCAGGGGTGACCATTTTATATTGGCTAGTCAACTGTGCTCATTGCTGGGAGAGGATTCTCCCTCTTTTAGCAGTCATCTGTGACCTGTAGTTCTTTGTCTAGGGTTAGGGCCAACCCATTGAAATTTTCCCTCTTCTGTGTTACCTTGTTTATTGGTGTTGTCATCATTTTGGTTTTGTTTATGCAGCCATTTCTAGGAGAGACTGTTTTACAGCAGTCTTTCTAGTGTTCTAGTTCCTAAAATCTTTCTGACCCCTCCTTTGCAGGAGTTGTGATGTCTGGGCTTCCTGTGTGGTTTTCCAGATTGGGGCCCAGTGCTGAGAAGAGTGTACACATGCCCCTATCTCTAACCCAGAAGCTATGTCCAGTTGATAACCACTGGCAAATGAAAAATTAGTTTTCTCTGACAGTCTCATTGGGGAGACAGGAGACACACTACTCTTAAGGGCAGGCCCCATGCCCAGAAGTAGATAGCACACATAAAGAGATGGTAATGGAATCCTTGGAGGTTCTTTGTTTCATAATCTTTTGGCAGGGCTTTTTTTTCTTTTTTTCTTTTTTTTTTTAACTTTATAGGTCCTTTCTCTACATATTATGACATCTGGTTTTGTCTTTTTATGGGATTCTTATGTACATGAACATGTGTCTCTGCATCTATTTTTTTTTTTTTTTAGGCTTTTTCTTTTTTCTTTTTTCCTTCTTTTTCCAAGTGTTCAAAACTAATCTAGGCTTTTTCTTTTTTCTTTTTTCTTTTTTCCTTCTTTTTCCAAGTGTTCAAAACTAATCTTTTGGCCAGGTCTGTAGCTCAAAAGTAGAGTTTTCTAGCATTTATGAGGCTCTGGATTTAATTCCTTGTTTTGTCAAAAACTGGAACAAAGCAAATTAATTTTGTGTTGTCAGTGATAGTAATAGTGAAGCTTATTTTCTCATATTCTTTGTTGACTTCTCATGACTGCTTTCTGAGGAGACAAAATACTGAAATTTGGACTATGTTGAGGAACCATCAATCTTATCCACTTTTGTTTCTTTGTGTGTCTGTGTGCTTGGGGGAAAGTATACATGTGTGTGGG